CTCACTAAGGCCGAGTACAAGGGGAGAATGACGTCCCGGGATTTGCTTGAGAAGCATCTATGGATGCAAGCCAGCGTTTTGGTCGCTTTACTAGCTGCAGCATCGCATTGCAGGCTCATGTTCATCTTGTGGTCAATGATGACCCCCAAGTCTCTTTCTTCCATAGTGCTAGCCAGCATAGCACTGCCGAGCCTATAAGGATGCTGTGGGTTTTCCTTCTCAAGGTGGAGAACCTTGCATTTATCGGCGTTGAACACCATCAGATTCTCATCCGCCCACTTGCTGAGCCTGTCCAGGTCAGCCTGGATCATGATCGCTTCCTTCTGAGTTACCATCACCTTCACATCCTCCATCAATTCTTCCCTGTTGATCAGGAGAAGATCCAAGAGAGATGATCCCCTAGATGTATTCTTCACCTTCTGGAAGAGAACGTGGTCCTCCACACAAGTTGGGTACCAGCTTGACATTTTATATTTGACTACATTGTTCTTTCAGAAAATGTATGGAAAACTACAGTCTCCCATCGGTACCATCCCATAGCGTTTAGATAGATTTGCCACCTGCTTGAAAAGTGCCTCATCCAACTCCTCTTCCTGATTTAAGTAGCCTATAATAAATCCCCACCATTATATCAGTGCTACTTCTTTCACTTTTCATCTTCACCCAAATGAATTCTGCTTTGCTGTCTTCTTCCTCTTGAAGCAGGGAATGAGTATATGTGTTTTTGGCATACAAAGCAACACCATCACCTTTTCTCCTACCCCTGTCCTTCTGAAACAAAGTGTAAGCCTCCATGTTGACATTCCAGTCATAAGAGCTGTCCCACCAGGTGTTGGTGATGCCAATCAGGTCATAATTGACATTACTGACATTTCTAACAAAAACAACAACAACAACAAATCTTAAAACCTAAAACAACCCCTTTCCACAGGCCCCATTTCTTATAGACAAGGATGGCAATGCTGCTTACTATCAAGGGTTTAATTGGAATGCCCTGTTACTCCAAACTTTTCCAGAGGATTTGGGATAAAATTTTCCATGCCAAGGTTTGCCTCAGAATATTTTTTTTCCATCTAAGCAAAAACTGGGTCAGCTTTTTCTGAGAATGAAGTTTGGGAAAAATATGTTAAAAGATGTCAACATCCTTTCCTCTGAAATTCTGTACTGCCCACATGCCTCAAAGTAGGAACTTAAAAGTTGGCAGTAGGGGGCCATTTGTGTCAGAGGCATATATTGCTGTTCCTATAATATTCTGTCCATGGTCAGGATACATAGATTTGAAAAATCCCAGTTCATACACACTCATTAGGGACTCCTTGGGTTTTAGTTGTTCAAGTTCAAGAGGGCAGTGTCACTGAATGCACCTCACCCCCTCCCAGCACATATTGCTGACTGAGCTGCTCCTGGTATATACCAGCCCAGACTCCTGGAACAAAGCTGGACTCTCTCTGTAATGGCTGATTCCAGCTGCTCTGGACTGAGATGGGCTTAGACAGCAGAACTGACAGCAGAGAGCTTTTTGCCTGTTCTCCCAGTGATTCACCTGCTGGCAACCAGGCATCTTGAAAGAAGAAGCCTTTTGATTCAAATAGAAAGGGGACAACCTGGGGGAGGGGAAAGAATGGAGTAAGACAAGATATCTGGTCAGATGGTGATGGGGGTTAGCCTTTTCACAGATAGCCATTAATCTTGTGTTCCTCATTTCCTGGGTGCCCAACATGATGCCATGACCTCTGATTGTATAAGCCCCTGCACATTTAAAAATGCTACGGCGAAGGGGGGACTTTATCTAAACCTTGTTGAGTGAAGTTTAGATAAAGTGTCCCATAGCCATTTTTAAATACACAGTTACTTAATACACATGAAGGTGAGGCATTTTAATTAGAGTGGCTCTCTGGGGACCACTCTAATTAAAATGTCAACCTGCCCACCCCTGAGCATGTGTATAGGAAGCCTTTATGCTTAAATTTACCCATGTAAAATGGAGATAGCAGCTCCTTCCTCCCATGCATGGAGATGCTGTAAAGATAATTAATATTTACAAAACAAACACTCATATACTATAGCAATAAGCACCATGGAAAAAAGCCATGATGACATTAACAGTCCTATCCTTTGAGTTGAGTGTGAAGAGTGTGTAGGAAGTAAGGCTCAGTGGGGGAGGGGGGGAATATTGAACAACAAGGCTAATACTGAAGAGTTGCTCATTCTATGAGCATTTTCTGTCCTGAGGCTGGGGTCAAAATAGAAAGTGATCATGAGACATACAGTCTTGTATTAGAGGCTGTCACTCTGGTAGGTGCCAGCTTTTGAGTATTTGGATTTGTAACCTTCCAAATATTCTTTTAATCTAGGTGTGTGTGTGTGTGTGTGTGTGTGTGTGTGTGTGTGTGTGTGTGTGTGTGTGTGTGTGTGTGTGTGTGTGATGTAATGAAGAAGGGGAAATGAGAAGAAAGTGCTGCCTAAAAAAATCTTTTGCATTTCATGTTTAGCAATACTCAGGCCACATCTAGACCACAAACTTAGTGTGCTCCACAGCGGAAAACACAAACACGCCATGACTCTGCCTGCATTATCACTCCCTCCCCCTGATGGAATGGGGTGTAATCAGTCTGCACAACACTAGAGGTGGGGTAATTATATGTAGGCTTGGTCACTGTCACTACCACTGTCACTGAGCAGTGCTAATTGGCCTACCCTCACTTCAGTCTTATGTGGACACAACCAAACTGGTCAGTGGGAGATCCTGTACATAGAGACATACTGAGGGGGCTACTACATAGCAGCTAGTGATAAGCTGAAGAAGCTTGCAGTGTGGACATAGCCTGAGTGGTTCAGAACAATGTAAGCACGTGAGGTATGCATACTCGGAATGAGTGACAGGGAGAAAAGAGTGCATAATCCAAGAACTGAAAGTGAGGGAGGAGAGATGGCAGGGAAGAGAGAAATCTCATGGAGAACAGAATAGAGAGAAACATAGTTTGGAGAGAAATACCATATATGTTTCATAGTTGGTAGGGTCAGAAGGGACCTGGGCAGATCACCAAGTCCGACCCCCTGCCATGGGCTGGAAAGAATGCTGGGGTCAAACGACCCCGGCTAGGTGATTATCTAACCTTCTTTTAAAGACCCCCAGGGTAGGAGTGAGCACCACTTCCCTTGGAAGTTGGTTCCAGATCCTAGCCGCCCTGCCTGTGAAGTAGTGCCTACTTCACAATGTTAGTTTCAACTCTCCCTTTGAAACTGTTGGTAGACCAGTTCCTTGGATTTGACACATACTTACTTCTTATGAGGACTGTTAATATTATTGAATAATTATTGTTTTCACTTATAACTGACAGTGTGTATTTTCCAGCTTCTGTTTCTTTTATTTTAGGAATGGCCAGAGAAACAACATATCTGTAAAGCAGAAAAGAAAGCTTTCATTATAGAACATTCTGGTTGCAACCTAGAGGATGTTGTGCTGAAGAGACAACTACCCTCGGCATCATGCTTAAGGCAATGGAAGCAGAATTTTGCGATAGTGGGACAAGGTACTTACGCTGCACATTTCATCTCCAAAGTGCTCTAATAGCCAATGGCCCTGATTCATCATATTCAGGACAGAACTTAACCAGTTGTTTCCAGTAGGACTTACAGCACATATTCTAAGTTAAACATGCATTTAAGTGCTGTCCTTACATAGGGAGGAACTTGGACCCAATCTGCATAGGGCCCCTAGGTTTTATCCTAAGAGATAATCTGGGCTTCTGATTCAACTGCAAGAAGAAAAGGAATGGAAATATCAACTTGTGGCTGGAACATAAAGGCTGCAAAGAGACATCTTTGTGTCGCCATAAAAATATTTATGGCCTCACAAAGCAAAAGCAAACAGATGTTCATGCCCTTTGTCAGGCCATAAATAGCCACCTTTGTGGCCATGACAAAAAGTAGTATAAATTTGTGCTGCTATTTTGTGGTGTGTGTCTACTTAAGGCAGAAGAATGTGGGCAGTCTGCAGTTGCCCATGCTCTCTAGCTGCTCTGGGCAGGCACTTCTAGGGCTTCAGGGCCCTTTCCTGCATGACCTGGGAATTCTCCTGCAGAGGTTTCCCCATTTGTAGAAGTGCACCCCCCATTTGTAGAAGTGCACACCAGAATCAGGGTGTGCCTTGGGAAAAGGGGAAACCTGGACAAGTGTTCGTGGGGCTTCAAGGGCCTAATCCAGATTTCCTGGGTGTGCCTCTGCCAGCAAGAGAAATCCAGGGTTCCCTCATTTGCAGACCATGCCCTGTTATCACATAGGATAGGGCCCCTGCCAGGATACATGCCAACATAGCTGATCCAAATTTAGGAGAATGTGCGTTTGATTTTGTTATAAAGTACTATCAGGTCAGAAATCTTTGCTTTCTCAGTACATAATTTACCAACAGCTATAATCAGTCTACAGTCCACTGATACTACTCAGTATAGATAGCAACACTTAAGATAATGAATAATGTAAAAATAAATAATTAATAACCTAACTCACATGGATAATATTCCATTTGCCTCCTCTAATGAAAATATCCCAAAATGTTTTGATTAAGTTTATTCTTTTACTTACTTCTTTCCAGGGTCCAATGTAGGTCTGCAGTCAGTTTTGTTCTCTTTAAAGAGCCAAAAGCATGAAAAGATCTCTGAAATATTCATTATTACTTTTAATTTAATGTCTTCAAACACATCAGCTTCCACAATTTTAGCCATTCTATAGACTTCCTCTGTGCCTTGAGAGCTCAAATAACACCCAAGATCTTCCAAAATGTTATCCAACTGCATTGCAAAAAAACAGATCTGTGTGTCTTACAATGGTGAATGGGGTTTCCATATTTAAACAATTAAAAAATGAAATTCTCCTATAAAAATACCTTAATGAATTTTAAAAGCCCCCAAAACCTCCTGGATACAAGAAATCATGGACTAAATATAGACATTAGATTTATAACACATTATAACCTGCCTGACATCTGACTCCCCAGGTATCTCTCCACTATTTAACTGCTACATTCATCCCCCTTCTCCCCGCCAACCTAGCCTGTCTCTCACCCACTGACTCCTCCATTTACATCTTCACTGACTACCTATCTTACATGCATACCAGCCCAGCCTCTGGCTTCTTTACTATTCATTCCATCCAGGAAGAGCGCACACCAACTGCAGAGACTTTTTTAGCCTGATGAAGAGTTTTTAAACCTGAAAGCTTGCTAAAAAAATTTTTCCAACTATTTAAGTTGGTCTAATAAAAGATATCATATTCACCCAAAGAATCTTGTCTGCTTATGTCCTGAGACCAACACAGCTACAACCTACACCCCTGTTACCAGTATTTATAGCACTTAAACATATATGGTAACAAACACCAAAAGTAACTTTAATATTTCCATTCATTCAGTAGTGGGATTGGCATATTCTTGTAGCCATGCTGGTCTAGGAAATATGTCAGAAACAAGATACTTTGTTGATCTATTTTAGTTGGAAGAGATGTTAAACAAGCTGGCAGACACACAAGAAGAATACTCTGTGCCTGAAAGTTTGTCTAACTATCTCAATTATACAGTGGCTTCAATAACAGATATCACCAAAACAACCTTACCTCTCCATCCGGTATGTTTAATTGTACTTGGTCAGCAACTACAGTGACATTTATTAAAACTAGCTGGTTTTCCTTTAAGGACTGATATTTGAGCACAAGTTCAGTCAAGACTGTAACACCTTCTTCCAGCAATAAGGACCAAGTTTAATTCCCACTCTCACTCAAGGTTTCATTTACATCAGTTAATTCCAAGAAAGCACTAAAAGAATTGCAGCTCCATCCTTTTCCTCCAAAACTCTGCTGCAAACCCAGGACCATGAAATATGGTATATCTTTATTTGAAGTGAGACATCACTGCACTTAAAGATTTAGCATATTGCAACATTATGGAAATACCTCTGTGTGTACTGAATGAGATTCTTTTGTATTGCTATTCAGTGTTCATTTACCTTAGGAGATCCAGATGACTCCAGTGTTCTTGAACCTTTATTCTTCTGCTTGATTAAAATGCATGTAATCTTGGATATATTTTGGCTTGTTGCAGAAGTGAAAGTCAGTGCTATAATAACAAGAGCTGCAAAACAAAAAAAGAAAACATATATAATCAGCTGTACATCTTGGAACAGGAATAATCATTTGAATGAAAACAAAATGCACTACAACCGAAACTGAGAGTTTATATGCATGTTATGTGCTGTTGTAAAACCTGCTTCAGTGACTGTATGCACAAAGCCATGGACATATAAACAGAACTCACATTCAGCAATTTGACCCCAAAGAAATGTAGAAGAACACTGAAGGTCATGGAGATTAGAATCCTTTAAAAATATAGCCCCCTACATATTCCAAACCACATGCCACATAGTTAAATTCGCTTACATGTCTGATTATCTTTAAAGGTCATCCTACAAGTCTCCAAAGCAACAGCTGCTTCAGCATCAGCCAGTGTAGGATTCTACCCACTGACACCCAGGGGATGTTGTTTTCAGTACCCATGTGGCTTCTGCTCAGAGCAACTGTGAAGTGAAGCCTTTCAGATGTCTCCTCACTCCACTCCTGGCTCACCTGCAGAATCTCGCCCTGCCCCTCCCATTCCTCTGGCACTAGCCAGCAGCTTGCCCCACATACCAAGTGATGAAATTGTTTTCCTCTTCATGCTTTAAATTTCTGATTATTATCTTAAAATACAATTCAATATTGAATTATTACTTCCCTGAATTGGACCCAACCTGCATAGGGATCCTAGATTTTATTCTGAGAGAGAATAATCTGGGCTTTTGATTCTACTGCAAGAAGAGAAGGAATAGAAATATGAACTTGTGGTTGGAACACAAAGGTTGCAAAGAGACATAACTTTATACAGCCATAAAAATGTTTACGGCACCACAAACCAAAAGCAAACAGATGTCCATGCCCTTTGTCATGCCGTAAATACCCACCTTTGTGGCCATGACAATAGGTAGTATGTTTTGTGATGTATATTTGCCCTAACCCAGAAGAGTATGGATTGTGTAAAAAACAGGATTGTGTTCATTTACCTTAAGAGATCCAGATGACTAATGTTCTTGGACCTTTACTGTTCTGTGGATGCATCTACACGTCACTGTACAGTGATGTTGCTATGGTGCCATGCTTTAGTACTTCTCTTTGGAAGTACTAAAGCATGGTAAAGCATGGGGCAGTTACTGCTCCATGTGCATGGTTAGAGCACCATAGTAGTGTGCTATAACCGGGGTGCATGCCACTACAGTGACGTAGCTGGTGAGCACATGTAGACCCATGTGATCACTACGTCATGGTAGCATGCCATATGGTGACATAGCGCATTGCTACATCACCATATCCATAGGGCAACATGTAGATGCACCCTGTTTGATTAAAATGCATGTAACCTTGGATATATTTATACAGTGCTGTAGCAAGGGGTGTGGTGGGGGCGAGCAGGGCAACCGCCCCAGGCACTGAAGCGAAGGTGAGCGAACAGGTGTTGCTCACCCAGGGCCGGGCGTGGGACAGAGCTGTGAGCAGCTTGTTTGGGGGGGGGCATGTGCCCCCTGGATCTGTGCACAAGGCAAGGGTGGGCTGCCGCTGTGGGCTTTGCCCCAGGTGCCAAACTTCCTTGCCACGGCACTGTATTTATAACTAGCATCACTTTGGGCTGTGAGTATCTCCTGAGCAGCCATTCAGGCATGGAGGGGAAAGCCAGAAGCTTCTTCCACTCATACAGTCACTCAAAGAGCACTCCCTAGTCTCTCCCTAGTCTAGAGAGCAAAGGGGTGGTTTGCACCTGCTCTTCCCGGGGAGTGCAATTCTGAAAAGGGAGCAGCAAAGGGGCCATGACTTTCCATGACTTGCCATAACTTCAGCCCACAGCAGCCTATGGCATCCAGCCAGTGCACAGAGTTAACATCCAGATCCATCCTAATACATGAAGCAGGCTATATTCTCCCTGGGCATTTCTACACATGCAATACATTCAAAGCAGGCTTACTGTGCACTAAAAATACTATGCAATAAACCTACAGATATGCTCCCTCTTGGTAGCAGATTTGTTCCTAATGGTACCCTGCTCTCCCCCTCTGCAGCAGCCAGGGTGAGCTTCAGGCCCCCCCTGGGTGCTAGTCCAGGGGCTGGGAGGGAGTATGGGTCCAGGAGACATCTGTCTCCTGGTGGGGGCTGGAATATTGCTCCCTGCCACTGGGAGCTGCCTGCTGGCAGGGCGAGCTCTGATGGCAGAGCCTGGGCCGGGACAATGTTCCCCTGACACAGCAGCAGGCAGCTTATGGCCCCGGCTGTGCAATGGGTGGTAGGAAGCTGGGAAAGAGCTATGAGGGAGTTCCTAACCCCCTGCCCCAATCTGCCAGTGGGGGCATTCCCCGCCCAGCTGGGGGCTCACTGCTAGCTGCCCCACTAGTGGATCCATGCAGGGGGCTGAGATCTGCCCATCCCCCACAGCTCTTTCTAATCCCCGTTCCTCAATAATCCAATCAGAACATGGGGCTGGGAAAGAGCTACAGGTCTGGGACCTGCCCCAAACTGGGACAGTTCCCGGCCAGCTCCGGGCTGCAAGGAAAAGTCTGAACATGCAGCCCAGAGCTGGTTGGGACCTGGCTCGAAACAGGATAGTTCCCATCCAGCTCTGGGCTGCATGTGCAGACTACCCCTCACAACCTGGGGCTGGCTGGGATCTGTCCCATTCTGGGGCAGATCCCAGCCAGCTCCTGGCTGGGCAGGGAACTCTCCCCATGCAGGAAGCTCCTAGTCCTAGTTCCATGATTGGAGTGGGAGCTGGGAGATTGCTCTCTGCCCCCGGCAGCTACCTGCTGCTGGAGCAGGCTCTGATGGTGGAGACTAGGCCAAGACAATGTCTCCCTGCACTGGCAGGAGGCAACTCCCAGCCTCACAGGTTTCCCTGCCCTAGCAGCAGGCAGCTCCCAGTACCTGCTCCACCAGCAGATTGGGGCAGGGGGATGAGACCTGCCCTTTCCCCCTGGCTCTTTCTAAGCCCCATGCCTCAATTGCCCAATCTGGGCATGGAGCTGAGAAAGAGCTGTGGGGCTGGGACCTGCCCCAGACAGGTAGGAAGCTGGCACTGGGTGATAAGGATCTTCCAGCCCAGGTCCTGTGACTGCAGGGCTTGGGCTGAGAGATAAGGATGTCCCAGTGCCAGCCCTGTGACTGTGGAGCTGGTGCTGGGAAGTAAGGATCTCCCAGCCCCAGCCCCACAGTTACAGAACAGTGGCTGGGAGCTCCCTGCTGCTGGGGCAGAGGGACATTATCCCCATCCAGGCTCTGGTGCTGGAGCTCTCCCCAGCAGCAGGCAGCTCCTGGGGTCAGGGAGCAACCTTATGCCCCCTGCTGCCCAGCTGGCCGGGAGCATGTTTGCTCCTGGTCAGGTGCCTGCACACGTATTATTGTGCAGTAACTAATCTTGACTAAATTTGCTACTTGTATTTACAGGTAGCAAATTTACCAAGATTAGAGCCAATTACTACACAGTAAGTGTCTGCATGTGTAGACGTGGATACTTACTGCACAGTAATTAGCTCTACTGCACAGGAAAGTGTCTCGTGTAGACACACCTAGTAACTACTCCATAGTTAATTTGCTACCTGCAAATGCATTTGTAGGTAGCAAATCAACCGTGGAATAGACCGATTTACTATGCAGTAAGCATCTGCATGTGTAGATGGTGATGCTTACTATGCAGTAAATTGGTCTACTGCACAGTAAAGCATCTCATGTAGATGAGCCACCTGTGCACAAGGAGCAGCAGGAAAGAGGTTCTGCTTGCCTGTTCGTCACAGTCTCCTGGGTGTGTATCCTCCCTGGAATTATGTGGGTCTGTGGCTTCAAAAGCCACAATCTAGCCTCATAGCTGTAATACAGTAACCCTAGCCCTCAATGTGCACATAAACAAGAAAAAGAGAAGTAAGAATACGGAACTAGCCAAGGGAAACAATCGGTGTGATCTTGATAAGATCCCACTGCCAACAGTATAAATAAGCATTGGATCCCAAAATAACACCTTGTAGCTGCCTTTTCAAAGCATTAGAAAGTTTCTGCCATGTCTTTACAGAAGTCTGCAAAATGGTTGAACAAGGAGCAAGAATCTGAAATTAAAGACACAAAAAGAAAAAGAATTAACTCAAGATGAAGGAAATGTCTTCATTGCTAGAAGAACTGAACAGTGAAACTGGCTCCCAAGGCAGGTGTTGGAGTCACCAAAACTGCATACTAAGATAGTCAAGATAAAACATAAAATCAGAGTTCCTAAATTACTTTCTCCTTTGTGATTTTTTGCTGTGCTCAACAATTCTAACTTAATTACAAATACCTATTTTCAGCTCTTGGGGCAAATCAATGCATATGCATCTTTCTCGGGTGACTTGTTATTTCAAGAGCCTGTCACAAGGCATTTCTAATGCTCTTCTTCATACTCCATACCCCATTGCTCCTATGTTACATCAGGGATACCCACTTGAGGCTGGCTTCTCAGCTGGTGTAGATCAGCACACCTCCACTGAGCCACATAAATTTAAACCATCAGAGAATGTGGCACCAAATTGTCAACTTCCTAAAGATTTTTTGTGTTCCAGCTTTGTGTTATCCACATAATGGCCACTACTATAGTGATCACCGGGCTCACTAAACACAGGCATATGTGAATGAGAAGAACTAAACAATAAATGTCATTTGTGGAGCACTCAGTAAGCTTTAGTGTATGAACTACAACCTGAGGGACAATTTCCCAATTCCCAACTGTTCTAAATTTGGAAGTGTCTTGAAATTATAACTTATCACTACAACTATTTCATTGTACAGCTGGAGACAAATTCATTCCTGGTAGAACTCCATGACATGATCCAGGTTGCTCACAGTAGTGCATATTTGTTTGCATGATCTTACTTATTACATAGTAGCAGAGAGGAAGAGATTTAAACATTTAAGTAATAGAGAAAGTGTTTTCATCTTAGATTTAGGAGATGGACATGCTAGGAAGAGATGGGACCCACCTGACAAAGAGAGGGAAGAGCATCTTTGCAGACAGACTTGCTAATCTGGTGAGAAGGGCTTTAAACTAAGTTCATCACAGGATGGAGACCAAAGCCCTAAGGTAAGTGGGGAAATGGGTGACCTGGAGGAAGCACAAGCAGAAGAGGGTAACAGGGAAGGATTTAAGTAGAGCAATTGGCTAGTTACCTCAGGTGTCTGTACAGGAATGCACAGAGCTTATCTTTCTGGGGTCATCTAACCCCAGATGATTTCCTGCCCCCAGGGCAAAGGGCTGGACCCGATGATCTGGCAAGGTCCCTTCCAGCCCTTGTGTCAATGACATCAATGAAGAAGAAAGAATTGGAAGTCCTTGGACAGTCATAATACTACAGTGTGATTAGAATAACA